TTTCTTCTTCTTCTTCTTCTTCTTCTTCTTCTTCTTCTTCTTCTTCTTCTTCTTCTTCTTCTTCTTCTTCTTCTTCTTCTTCTTCTTCTTCTTCTGTTGAAGATGTATGAGGCCCAATGCTAAAACTGTCGAAATAGTCTAAGATGGACATCCATAGTTGAGGAGAGAAATGGCAGTCGTAGACATGCGCTTTAGATCATTTAGGAGACTGGCTGCTTCAACCTGCATGTCAGGGCCATCTTTGGCTGTGAGGGAAACAAGATACTCAATTTGAAAAGAAAGAATTGTCATCTGCGAGCGGCGACGAAGTGTCTTACTACAGTTTCACAACAGACTCTTGTCAACACAGACATTACCCAAAACTTCTTAAGAAATTTCTCGCTTTGATGCTTTTTCAAATTTTTTTTTGGAGAATTCACAACAGTCTTATTACGAGGGTATTTTTTTAGAAATATAAGTTTTATGCGCTTGCAACCGCATATGGTCATATGAGTGAGCGGTACACGTTAAGCATACTATTATGTTTGGTAGGAATTAACTTACAATTTTGCCCAGGTTACGGCCAAAGTGTACTCCTATCGATTTTAAGACCCCCAAAGGATCTTCAACTTGTGCAACTTGTATATGGGAACTCCAAGATTGTTTTCGCTCTTTCCCGAAAAAACAAGGTGTTACGTCATTTTTTACTCTAAGATCACGGTGTGGCAGAAAGACAGAAGTAAGAAGGAACCAAGGAGTAGCAGTAGAAAGACAGCGGAAAAAGTCAGGAGTCAAGAAGAGGGGGCATCGGGGCGGGGGTAGGGAGCAGAAAGTGTAGACGAAAGAAGACAACCAAACATGGTTAGAAAGCAGGAAAAAGATTAAAGGAGACAATCTCAGAGAAGAAAATTTTCCATCCCTGCCAGGTTTCGAACGCGGGACCTATTGCATGAGAGGCGAACACCGTACCTCTAGACCACGAGAGTCTCCACCCCCAATCCCCAATCCTCCAATCCTCCAATCCTCCAATCCCCCTTCACTCCCGACAGTCTTAACAGCCATCAGGACATACGAGTATGAATGAAAACATTTAAACAAGACTGAGCTTAAGTCCATTTTTCTCGAAAAGATAAAAATATCTTAAAGCTCTTGCCCTTATTGACAAATCAAACAGGATATGACTGGACTTAGGCCTAGATTCATATTTTGTGCACCTTCCTTTTTTTTCTTCTTTTTTTTCCTTTCATTTGCTTTATCGCAGGCTGCACGATGTTGTCATAAGTGCGATTTTTAGGCACTGGGAAATCATCTCTACCAAAGGTACACGAAAAGGCAATATTCAAGAATTTTGAATTTTGCACTGCCTCGTTCCCAGATATTCAACTCGTTGTAAACATCGTCTTCATCATTGTTTTTCTAACCCTGGATCAAGGTATAGGCCACGAACGAACACTTTCCTCCTTTCTCTTTCCTAGGCTAGCCTCTTAAATTTATTTCAAGTCTTCCCACTTTTATGTATATAATTTCCTGTGACTCTTCTCACATGTTCAAGAAAACCTGGATCCTCAAGTATGAGATGCGTTCCATGTTTCACATCCATACAACAAGACTGATTTCACATTTGAGTTGAACATTCTCAGCTTGTTGTAAACATCACCCTAAAACAAAAACCCCCCAACAAAAACAAAAACAAATAACAACCAAACTAACAAACAAACAACAAACCAACCAACCAACCAAACAAAACAAATAATAACTCCAAAACAAAACGAAACAAAGCAAAACAACAGCAACAACAACATCAACAACAAGAAAAACAGTAACAGCAACACAAAAAAGACCGCTTATCATTCCTATCCACAACCCCAATCCAACATAATTTGAAATAGTTACAATTTTTATGGAGGCCGACTGATTCGATCCTGCATGTCAGTATGTGGGACACGTTCGAAGGGAAAATGGGACACTCAGTTGTCATCATCAAGAGCTAGATCTGAATCTATCATTGCAGTCATGGTTCGCCACTTATTTCTCTGCCCCAAAACTCTTTAGAAAATCCTGTTCTTTTCCTGTCACTCCTTTATTGTTCAAGTTCTGAAAGCAAATTGACCCTTTGTCTACCACTGCCTTTTTGCCACTGATTTATATCCAATGAGAGCAAGATGTTTAAGATTTTTCCTTCTTCTTTGATGATTTGAATATGATGAAGTATAGTTGGAGAGAAGGTTTGCCAGTATACTCGTCTGTTCTAATCAATACGACGGAAAAGGCGTATCAGCTGAGCGTAGGACACCACATATTGCCATCTTTGTACATGTATTTGAAAATTGATTCCTTGAATTAATACGTGTTTTTTGTCTTTATCCACACAGGAGAGTGTGTGCATTCGTGCCCGTGTGTTTTCAATCGCTATTGAATGTGTCTGAGTATGTATGTCTGTTTGTGCGCACGTGGGCTTGCGTTCAGAAGTGTGAGGAGAACAGCAACCTACAGCAAGCACAAAAATTGATCAGGGGAAGTAATCAAATATTGGACAGACTGTTCAGGAAATGCCTAGGATTATCCCCCATGCCCTAGACTCCGGGGGTGGGGGGGGATGGTGGAATCTCTGAAGAAGAGACATTGGGCTACTCAAAATGGAAAGCATTTGAAAAAGAAATAATTCCCCGTTCTGACAAGTGGCAATCTGCCTCAATTACTTGATTCCCTTGAATATTGCGTGGGATTCGTCCCTGAACCTCCCGTGGTTAGGGGAAATCCGGGAAGCAGAAACTTAACATTTTTATGTCGGAATTCTCCCAGCACATTTTCACTTGGAGTATGAGAAAAAAAAAGTATTTGCAAAGTAGTATTTTAGAAGAAACTTATTTCTATCAATCGGAAAATTATTTCGTATCAATGTCAATAGAGCTTTCCTGATTTTTACAATTTTTCGGTAAAAATAAAACAACAATAACAAAAACAAAACAAAACAAAACAAACTTAAACGGCAATGTACGGAGTTCGCGATATGGCGAGAAATTACTGCTCTCTCTCTCTCTCTCTCTCTCTCTCTCTCTCTCTCTCTCTCTCTTAGTGTAAGTGCACGTTGTGTATGTGTGTGTGTATGCATGTGGTTGTGTGTGTATGAGTGTGTGAGTATGTGTTTATATATAAAAGCCTATGTCTGTGTGCATATTATTATTTATTATTGTGCATGTGTGTGTTTGTTTGTGTGCACATGTGTGTGTGTATGTGTGTGAATGTGTGTGTGTGTGTATGTATGCGAGTAAATGTGTGAGTGTGTGTGTGTGTATGTGTGTGTGTGTGTGTGTGTGTGTCTGTGAAAGAGAGAGAGAGAGAGAGAGAGAGAGAGAGA